CACTTGATGGACAACAAAGCCAGAATATGAAACAGAAAATGGCCAAGGCGCGCACATGTGTGTAGTTCTGACTCCAGCAGAGCCCCTATTAGCATCTTCAGGCTTCACACTACTTTGAAAGCCTATGGTCATCTATGCTTGCAATATCTGCAGAACAATCTTGCAAAGATACCGTTGGAGGGATGGAAGCTCCCAGTGGAGGAATGAGAAATGTGGCAAAGAGGTTTCATCTTCTAAGATCTCTACCACAACAATGGGGGGGGGGGGGGTATTTGTTCTTAAACTCTTGTTTCTCCAGATGTTTTGGACTTCAGCTGCCACAACCTCTAATTTCTGGGAGCTGAAGTCCAAAACATCTGAAGGAGCACGGTTTGAGGAATACTGCTCTACACTAAGGCACAGAGCACAGGAAATAAAATTAACTTGAATTCATAATACAGCAAAGCAAATATAATAGGCATCACTGAGTCTGTGGGATGAGTCTCGTGACTGAGATGTAGTAATGGATGGTATAAGGTGTAGCACTGTATAGCAATGATATTTACACCTGTGAAGAAATGAAAGACTTAAATCCTGGAAGAGAAATAAACTAAACAGGAAAGAAGGTGTAGCACTGTATAGCAATGATGTTTACCCCTGGGAAGAGACCAAAGATTTAAATCCTGGAAGGATTGTTGAGAGCATCTGAGCAAAAATTAAAAGAGAAAGTAAAATAACGTAGGTATTATTGTGGAGGTCCACTACAAACTGAGGATGGAACAGGTGACCAGCATTTCAAAAAGGAGAGCAATAGTAGATATGGAAGATTTTAATTATCTGAATATTTGTTGGAAGACAAATCCTGCCAAGGTGACAAGGTCCAACAATTTCCTTAATTGCTTTACAGACACTCTGATGGTCCAGAAGGTGAAAAGACAACAAGGGGATCACCTATTTTAAATTTGATCCTAACCAACAGTGGTGACCTGGTCAATGGAGTGAAAGTGGTAAGATCCTTAGGAGGGAGTGTCCGTCTTCTCCAGGAGTTTGCTATAGAGAACAAAGGTGAAGAAGCCAAGCATGGTCAGACAAGCATTCTAGACTTTAAGAAATCGGATTCCAGGAAACTTAGGAAGACACTGGGTGTTATCCCATGGGAGGCGTTAATGACAGATAGGAATGAGATAATGATGGCATGGTCTCAAACAGCTCCAATTTGGAAGAAAATGGGAAATGTCTAAATAAACCAGGAAGGAAATCTAAAAATCTTTCAGCTGAGCTAGTCAGCATATGTAGGGAGAAAATCAGAAAAGTGAAATTGCAGAACAAGCTCAGGTTTGCTAGAGAGGTAAAAAAGATTAAAATAACTGCTTTAGTTATGTCTGCAGCAAAAGAAATAACAAGGAAATTATAGGGCCATTATGGTGAAGATGGTGAAATGCTAACGGGACAGAAAAAAGCAGAATTACTCAATACCTTATGTGTCTCAGGCTCTTTCTACACTGCCCTGTATCCCAGGATCTGATCCCAGATAATCTGCTTTTAACTGGATTATATGCATCTCCAGTGCCAGATAATCTGGAATAAGCAGATAATCTGGGATCAGATCCTTGGATATAGGAGCAGTGTGGAAGGGGCCTTAGTCTTCTCCCAAAAGTAAACAGTGCTTAACCAGAGCAAATGAATCAGATGATGCAATAGGGGAAATGCAGCAGGTATTAGCATATCTAACTGTTCTTAGTGAATCCAGATCTCCAGGGTAAAGTGAATTACACACAAGAGCATTCAAAGAACTTGCAGAAGTCATCTCAGAATCATTGGCAATAATCTTTGAAAATTCCTGGAACGTGAGAAGCTTCAGCAGACAAGAAGGGTAAATGTCCCATCTTCAGAGAGTTGGAAAAAGAGGATAAAAGAATTACTGTTATGTCAGCCTGACATCAATATACAATAATATAGATGGGTTCCTGAGTGAAATGTATATAACAAAAATACCACTTGTATAACATAAACAATGATATAATTCAACAACAGTATATAAAATGCTGCACTGTTAACCTCACAGCGACAGCAAACAGTATGGTGCAAACTTTTAGTACAGTCGTATTTTCTTATAAGTAGCTTGAGTAACAGCCTACCACAATTCAACAACAATATATATACATGCTGCACTGTTAACCCCACAGCGACAACAAACAATGTGGTGCAAACTTTTAGTACAGTCGTGTCTTCTTATAAGTAGCTTGTGGGACAGCCGACCACGACCGGTTTCGGCCTACCTCAGGCCTTCCTCTGGTGGAAAAATTATGCACATGAAAGTATGTTCTCCACGGGAGATACAAATCTTTTTGGGTTGGTATGAGATACTCTGCTTTGAGTTTAGTTCTAGCTGCGAGTAAGCCAGAACTAAACTCAAAGCAGAGTATCTCATACCAACCCAAAAAGATTTGTATCTCCCGTGGAGAACATACTTTCATGTGCATAATTTTTCCACCAGAGGAAGGCCTGAGGTAGGCCGAAACCGGTCGTGGTCGGCTGTCCCACAAGCTACTTATAAGAAGACACGACTGTACTAAAAGTTTGCACCACATTGTTTGTTGTCGCTGTGGGGTTAACAGTGCAGCATGTATATATATTGTTGTTGAATTGTGGTAGGCTGTTACTCAAGCTACTTATAAGAAAATACGACTGTACTAAAAGTTTAGCCTGACATCAATCCCAGGCAAGAGCCTAGAACAGATTATTAGACAGTCTTAGAAAGGAATACCATGATTACTAAAAGTCAAAATGGGATTCTCAAGAACAAATCATAGCAGATCTTTCTTTCTGTGTGTGTGTGTGTATTTTTAGGACTTAGACACAAACTTTGTAGATGAATGCAATGCTGTGGTGTAGCACATCTTGATTTCACCTTCACCCTTTCCAGGAGGACATATTGCTGCTTATGCCTACACTGTTTAATATGCCTGTGTAAAGAACAAAGCCATAGTGGGGAGCCTTTACACAGTTCCCCACTGGGCTCAAAAACATTTTTTCTCAACACTGAACAAATGAGCATTGCCAGGTAAATTTAGGAGAATGTGACATTCATATGAATATGGACAGCACACTAAAATGCCTCATATACAGAGTGCCAAAAGGTACCAACCCACATGCTAGTATATGCCATAGATAGAATACACCATCGAAAACACATTTTGGTGTCCAAATGTTAGTCCTATTTCTTGGTATATTTGACCTGCCAATTCCAAGAATGTTAACGGTTTCCCCCTATAAGCTCTAGTTTTTGAGATACAGGACACATGCCATCTACCAGTCGCCATCTGCTCGACCATAGAAAACTATGATAACCTTATCTAAGGTTGGGAAAGCAGAGGGAACCATCCTCCTTCGTTCCCTATCGTCTTTTCCTGTCTTCTGGGATGGCCTCCCATCCCATGTGGTTTCCCGTTCTTTTCCCACTTCCTCACCACACTGAACTCCTCCAAAGACACTCTGAGCTCCATTTCTCCATGCTGGCAAAATGGAGCCCAACAGAGTCCCACCAAAAGTTGCCCTGCTCTGTGAGATTCTGTTTCGACAACTGGGAGAAGACTGTGGCTCATAAAGTCCATAGAAACTAAGAGCTGATGCAGTGCCCCAAATAACCCCAGGAATAGACCTAAAAATTAGGACACCAAGAGTTTTTGGTAGGTTGGTCTGTGTTATTTTCTCTTATTCTTATTTATCTGTATACGATATATACTTGAAACCTTTAATGATAGCTATACTGTTGTTTAATAATTATTCAGAGGAAAGGCATTTGGACAGTAAAAGGAAGCATGGTACCTATCAACATATAGGCAGCTGAAAAGATTACAGTCCTTCTTCTAAGATGTGCAAACTCAAAAGGTAGGAAAAGGTTTCTAAATTACGTTAAAATTATAGGTGAAAAATATGTCAGTTTGTGAGGAGTATGTCTAATAGATTCATTTAATTGACCAGTGAGGTTCAGACTGCTGCCTGTAAATGACTTAACATTGCTAGTATAGAAACAAGTTTGTTTTTTAAACAAATCTATAAAACAAAAATTATGATGGTATGACAATTGAAAATTCCATTACAGTTATGTACTTCTAATGCCTCATGGTTAAACTGTGAATTAATATTAGTGACCTTTGTTATTTTTCCCCAGAATTCATACCTATCACACGAAAGTTTTGTCAATGTGAAAATCACAGAAATATGCTAGGGCAGGCAAGCTGTATAGACAAAAATCTAACGTTAAGACAACAAATTGTCGCTGTTGTGAACAAAACAACTCAAACCAGAATATACTGGCCTAAAACATAATGTATCAAATTCAGCCAAAGATATTATATCCTGATATTTTTCTTTTCTCTCTCTCAAATAAGTATAAATTTTGAGGAATGCTTGATGCAATGTCAGGAGGAAACACTTCATGTTATATACATGCTAACTAATGCATACATTACAAGGAGAATAATTGTCCCATTCCTATTTGGGCACTACAATGTCACTGTCCAGGCCCAGTGGCCTACTGATAGGAAGAAGAAGCAAATTTTATAATGCTCACATGTGTTACACTCTGTAATTACCAATCTTTACCAAATTTTTCTACAAAAGTGTGCCTTTTCTAAAAGTTATATTTTTTGGAAATGTCTCAAATGACATACTTCATTGTTTTCTATTCTAGCCCCATCACCTTCCTCTCTGTTAGCTTGCTTCTAATATCTGGACAGGCGCTAGCCTCCTCTCCAATAGATATGAATTAGAATAGCTGGGAGAGTGGTGAAAATCAATGATCAGGACATAGTTTTTCCCGCTACCACATTAAGGCCTTTAGCAGGCTCCTAGGAAAAATGTGAATTCTACATTTTCTCCCCTGGGAAGAAAATGCACTTCAGTTTACCATTACAACAAACACCATCATTTTATTCATAGGGAAAGTAAAGGAATACAAATGCTTACTTTTACTTTCACTATTTCAAGGATACGTGTAAAGTTTAAAAACTGCTTACCATCTCTGAAGGACTGCATGGGCTCATCTCCCCAGGAAGGAGGAAATGGGGAAAAAGGTGATTGTGAAATGCTGCATTCGGATATGGGGGTTGTGCTTTTGCAGGGCCTAAAGCCAAGCATCTCTCTGTCTTGATTTGGAGATGAAGGATCAGTTCCTAGTGCAGATTGAAGCATAGGATGTTCTGAAGAATTGGCCAATAGCTCCTTCAGGATGTTAATTGGTGAGATGGTAAGTTCCCAATTGGTGATACCAAAATCTCTCAAGTGGGCCCTGGCATGACTGGATAAGCCTGCACGCGTGTCAAAGCCAGCCCCACAGAATTCACATCTCATTAAACTGAAGGTACCCGGATCAAAGTTTGCAACTGTGAAAGAAAGAATCACAATCAGTGTCATGCTAAATTATAAAGCTTCTGCAATAAGTAAGATCAAGAGACCACCCACTAGACTATGTAATTATACACACAACACCATGACAGTCATCACCAGGAACCTGTAATATTTGCTTGCGAAAGAGAATATAGGGGAACATACATACCCATCTTCACAGGAATGAAAAATATTTTTAAAATTGCAAAATTTGTAAATTGAATACATACTACCTTTTTTCTTCTTCTTTTGGAAGGAAAATTTTTGCTCAATAGCTTTCACTTCTTCTGCAGAGATGAAGTGACGGACATTGTAGCTCACACCCACCCTGTTCAGGTGGCCCCGCACGTGATTGGCTAGGCCAATCCCATTGTGGAACCTGTCAGGACAGTATGGGCATTTCCTCTCCTCATTCTTCAACATCGACGAATCTGCATCCAGAAGGTCATCCAGTTCTAGAGATCCTTCTAGAGAGGAATCTAATAGGAAGACACCTAGGGGAGGGGACTCATCCATTCCAAACTCTCGGGAGAGAGGCAACACCTTTTTTTTGAGAGTTTTCATCTTGGGTCGTTTCACCTTTCTGCGATAAAGATTAATCTCCTCAACAATTACAATAGGAACCATCTGACGTAACTGGTGCTGCTGTCCTGCTGATGCTACTGAAAAATCTATTGCTTTCAAAGTGCCCCTGAAAGTCCTTTTGAGGTCCAAGGCGGACTGAGGAATAGCAAAGGGCCTGAAGTATCTATTCTCTGCTAACTGTATTTCTGTTGCTAAGGGGAATTCTTCTTCCATACTCCTAACATCATTTATGGGTAACCACTTGTGCTGGAGTTCTTCTAACACACCTGGGTGGCTTTTGGCGTTCTCCCTCTCAGAATCAAGTGGCAGCATTGTGCTTTTATTCCTTTCTTTTAGGGCATGTGGAGAGTAAGCGTTTGCTGAGGTAAGAGAGGACATCTCCAAGATCTTCTGTGAGGAGGTATAGGGAGCTCGTTTCCTAGCCCGAAAGCCAGGCTTTGGAATTTCTTTCTTATTACTGCCATTACTTTTATTAAGTCTGTGATGGCCCCCTAGAAAGGCAGGGGGAGAGTCATAGTGGGAAATGATCTCACCGTGGGATTGGGGAAAGAATCTGTCTGCTTTGCTCAAATAATCACTTTCTGAAAATCGACTGGACCTGTTAGGGCTGTAGGTATCCCTACTAGTTCCAGGCTGATTCATATCTGCTTCAAAAGTCTCTGTGTTCCATGGCAATTGTGAATGAGTGTATTTCATGTGTTCTTTTAAAATATTGTCATTTGGGGCAGGAAAGCTGCAAAGCATGCAAGTACTATGACCTTTGTTGCTACTGTGCATATGTGTCGTTTGAGGAAGACACTCATTTGACCGAAAGTGTCTGTATATATTGTGAATGGAGCTGTCTCTTGGTTCACTACCACCAGAATTGCCAAACAAGTTCACATGCTTCAAACCTTGGTCCTTCCTCTCCCTGACATGCATTTTTGCATGCTGGACAAACACCTTAGAGGAGTTAGTGCCAAACACACATTTTGGGCATTGTAGCCTGGCATCACGTCCTTCATCCGGAAATTCATCAAGCTTCTGAATTTCCTCAATTATTTTTTCTCGTGACTCCTGATGGAGTCTCCTGTGCTGCTCTAGAGAATCAATGTCCCCAAAAGCCCATCCACACTCATTACAAGTCAACTGACATTGATCTCCAGCATCCTCTCTGTCTTGATCCAGATCTAGTCCTCTGTTATGTTGAAGCATGTGATCCATCAAATGTTCCTTCATCTTAAAATAGATGCTGCACTCAATGCATGTATACACAGTGGGATCCTCCTGGCCTACATCCTCTTTCCCCTCTTCCTCCAGCACGAGACTGGATATATAGGGCCTTGTCTCATCATCATAAGTACTGCCAGTAGGAGACTCTGCAGACCTCGGGCGAACATGTTCCACAGTATCTCTGCCCCTAATGCTCCAAGTGCGTTTACGGACAGCCAGGTCCGTAGCAGTTTGAACCCCTGATGTCTGCAATGCCCATTCAGCTTTGTTGACAGGACTTACATCACCCAAATCAGAGTTCATTGCCTGCCCTTTCCTTGAGGAGGGTGCACTCTCAATAGTCTTTGTTTTACTTAGGTGAGGATTTAGCGTTTTTCTAAATACTGGCAGAGACAGTAAAGAAGCTTCTCGTGCCAACTGTCCCCTGACAGATAGGTTTGTTGCTACATCTGTTGGCTTATTTATGCTTCTATAGGGAGGACCAAGCCCTTCATTGTGCTCAGAAAGCCAGTCAAGTGTCTGAAAGCCCTTATTTTCCAATTCTTGCTTTCTGTCTAAGTGCTCTTTGCTGAAGAATTCTAGCTGCTTTGGTTCATTGCTGTGATATCTTTCATCCCCACTAACAGTCTGTGCACCATCAAGTTGTGGAGAAGCTTCCCCAGCTGCCATTCCATGTTCTAAGTGCTCAAGCTCCCCTTCTTGATCATCAGTATTAATTTGCACAGTTTTCATAATGTTAGATTCCACTGCAGAAGTGGGTTCTTCTGAGTAAGAAGGATTTTGCCATGAGATATCCTTAGTGCTCTCTGAATCCTTCAAACCAGGGAGTCTTTCTAAAGTGCTTTCTTCTTTGGAGACACTGCCCACTGTCTCCTGTGTAGAGTAGTTCCACAAAACAGTCATGCTTCTTTGATCCGCTGATCTTCTTGAATCTGCTTTGTAACAGCCTTTCCTAAATTTCAAACGGTGCTCTGCCTTGCTGCTGAAATGAGAATGGTGAACACACATTAACTAACAATTGCAATAACAAATGCAATGTTTAAATTATTCACAGGCTTATAATCATGGATTATGAAGCACTATTGCTTGGAGTCACAGACAAGATCATGCATTTGTCTTAGCAGCTGTATGGAAAACATATGTCTGCTCACATCCTCCTGCATGCTTACATCAACAGAACACCAATCATGGAAGAATAATTGTTCCTAGCCTTAGTAGCAGGATAGCAGAAACACCAAAGCCCCTCCACTGGCTCAGCCAATTCCTTTCCAAGAAAGGTCTCCTCGGTGCTCATCCGATTTTTTTCATGATACAACTAGAAGGTTTTGTTATCTGTGTTCACTTCTTCATTCTCCTTATTCATAGCCAGATCGTGTTTTCCTATTTTATATTTCCACTGTTGCTTCATATATTCCATAACCGACTCAACAACTGTGTCCAATTGCCCTAAAATAACATTCTCCTTTAGTATCAACTCAGAACAATCTAGTGATGGCAAGACCCTTAATTTGGCCAAGCAATTCAGGAATGCTTTCTGTTAGGTTCTGACCGTATTCACAAAAGACCTAGGAAGAATTACTAAGAGTAAAAAGAAACCAACATTTTTTGTATTTTCACTATGGGAATCTTAGAAAGAGGTGTCATAATCAAATTTTCACTATCTATTAACGGTCTGCCTAGTGTTCTCATACAAAGGTCTCAGATCAAACTACACATGCATTAAGAACATTTGGCATTGGCTTTCTTTTCAAAAACAGCTTGACCACAAACCTATCTGAATCAGGACTGTGGCATGCTGGGAAAGAGTTTAACACTTTATTTGCTAACCCCCCCCCCCCAAAAAAAAACCCTATTATTATCGTCCTCCAGGTTCAGTAAAAAAAAACTTTTGGGGAAAATAGCAATGAGAGGATTTTAGTTAAGAAAACTGTACAAGGAGGAAAGTGATAACCCCCTTCTTTGTGTACTACAATGTTGATTTAGACCAAGGGTCCTCAAACTAAGGCCCGGGGGCTGAATACGGCCCTTCAAGGTAATTTACCCGGCCCTTGCTCAAGGTCAGTCTAAGTCTGAAATGACTTGAAAGCACACAACAACAACAACAACAATCCTATCTCATCAGCCAAAAGCAGGCCCACACTTCCCATTGAAATACTAATAGACATATATTTATTGAAATTGTTCTTCATTTTAATTATTGTATTGTTTTAAAGTCTTTTTTGCACTACAAATAAGATATGTGCAGTGTGTATAGAAATTCATTCATGTTTTTTTTTTTCAAATTATAATCCGGCCCTCCAACAGTGTGACCTGGCCCTCTGTTTAAAGATTTTGTGGACCCCTGATCTAGACAAATACTGAATGCCATTGCTTCTTTCTCGAAAGAAAGAAATCTGCAATAATCATGCTTTAAAAAACACATAGCTAATATCAAATTTTGTTGTCATGCTCTTCTAGCTTGTGGACATTGCCCCATCCCTCCAGTGCTTAAACAATTTAAACTGTACATTTTCAGCACCACAATGGTGCACCCATTCCAGTTCATTTCACACAGAAAGGAGAGGATGTCCAAATAACTGAGAGGAGCTGTATAATCTTTACTGAACACACATGACAATGAAGACTGGAAATCCAATGAACAATTAAAAGTCTCGTGTACTCTTAAATTACACGCATGGTGATGGGCAACCTGGTGTCTTCTAGATGTAATGTACTAGAACTCCTATACAGTCCAACAGCACAGCCAATGATTAGGAAATATGAGAGCTAGAGTCAACAATGTCTAGATTAAAATGGGTTTCCTCCCTCTGCTTTGGAAACAAATTTCATTGATAACCCAAGATATTATTTCTAGATAAAGATGCCTAGGATCCCTGATCAAGTAGTAGGAACATGTTCTTTAAAATTGCTCCAATGACCTGAAGAGCAAACACAACTGACTTGGGTATGACCCACTTCAAAGGGAGGCTAGGGAAATTTTCCAGGAAAGATTATATGGGCAAAGGCACACATGTTACATTGAATGGTATTATACTAAGCTTGATGTTCCAGTACAAATGAAAGACCTTGGGAACTGGCCCATAGAGATTAGAAATGCCAAAGACAGTAATTCTTCCTCCAGAAATTTCAGTACTTACCGGGATTCCTTCCTGCGATCTGTAATGGAGACAACACCAAGAGAAGGACTAAGCTCATCTGCAGGGGAGAAAAAGTAACATCACAGGCTTGATTGCAAAGATGACTACCACGATTTTCAGTGTAATTTACAATCTTGTAATTTTAAAGCTATAAAGCTTTCCAAGCAGATAAACCCACCCAGTTTCTGAGCTTTCCTGGGGGCGGTTTTGGATTAGCATGAGATTTCTAACCCACATCATTTAATCCAGAGCACCAACGATTTGATATATAATCATTCTTGCAGTTAAGCAGTTTAAAATATATATATAAATTTGAAAGGAAGCGTGCCCAATAATCTTTTGTGCAAGAAGCCAAATTATTTACGCATACTAGGTTTTGTTCCAGATACCCCACCAAACTGTAGTCTTGCTTTCTACATGAATTGAAAGGCAGCTCATAAACAACATTCTGACCAGGTGCCTTATAATTATAGTGATTTGCCTTGTCTGTCCTCTCAGAGGTAGCGGTACTTTGCATGCTAGACTTGTAGAAGTCTGCATAATACTTTAATATACACAAACACATATACAATGCACAGGCCCATTCAGAGCCTGTTAGTTATGATTATATACTTAATTATATTCATCTTCTAGAGTAGTGGTTCTCAACCTGGGGTCCCCAGGTGTTTTGGCCTACAACTCTCAGAAATGCCAGCCAGTTTACCAGTTGTTAGGATTTCTGGGAGTTGAAGGCTAAAACATTTTGGGACCCACAGGTTGAGAACCACTGTTCTAGAGCTATTAGAAGGACTAAACTTTCTGAACACACCGATAATGACTGGAGGAACGGAAACAAATAACTCCAGAACTCTAAATTTCAAGGAGGCAAAACTGATTTAAAAATTTAAATCAAATTTTCATCTAATTTCTGCAATGTGGAGACACAAATTCTGAGGTACAACAATTTGGATTGACTCTTAAAATAAGGAACAGTCGAAACGAAACAAAAACCAAAAACCTACTTCTTTGTCCCTTATTCTGACTCATGTCTATCCAAATTTATAACATTCCTCATTGTCCTATTCTTTCTAAAAGTTTCCCTTTAAATTACTTGAATTATTCCTCTCAGAGGCAGAATTACTCATAGATTTCCAGACACTGCTTGGGTTTAGCATAGTGTTCTAGAGGTTTATCACAAAGTCTGGCACAATTGCTGTATGGGATTGCTCTTATTTTGGCACAACTGGTCAGCAAACAGTACCTGGCCCTAACCTATCCTGAGACAGAATCCATGCAGAACTCCACTGCCTGGATCTGCGCTGAAGTGTATTCTTCTTATGCTGCATTCTCCAAGCACGACTGCATGCAACAGCACTATGTTCTTTTGGCAATGGGCATTCCTTTGCCAGGAACTGACTGCTTCTGCAATGGCTCAAGGAGAAGCCCTATAAAGGTTACTGAAAGCGCTGTGATTTTACATTTCTGTTTGATAAAAAAAAGAGTGAGTCTGGATGACCCATGGGCTTCCTATTTGAAAAAGAAAGAAAGAGGAGAAAGTGGTTTTCTCAATCTGTCAAGGCAATTAGAAAAACACAGAGATTTATGGGGGTAAAGAAGCATGGAACGAACCAGCTAAAGAAAAAAAAAAGTCTTCACTACATACAAGGACTCACACCTACTTTTATGTTAATTTCTTGATGAGCCAATGATGTAATGTCATAGCCAATCAACTGAGCTTTTATGAAAATACATAAGGTTATACATTCCTGTTCACATCGCTAGTTTAGAAAAAAAGGCACTTTATAAACTTTTTTTCAAAGGGCTTCTTTTCCCATTCTGCAGAATGCTAATTAAACCATATTTGGAAGTTCAAAAAAAATATCTGTAACAGTTACATAAATTTAAGCCTTCTTTAATCAAAGAGATCAATTTATCATGTTATTTGATTTTCATACCGGTAGGGGTTTCTATGGCCTCACTATTCAAATGGAAAGAAAGAGATTTTGGAAAGACCACAAAACCCATCTTACAGCCAGGCCATGTGTGGTGTGGAACTCTTTCCCAGATATTCCATGCAGCTCAGCTTCAGTTGTCCTTTCTACAAGTGCCTGCTTAAGTTACAAGATCTTCAGGGGAAGCTCTTCTCTCTGCCCCACCACTTTCAAAGGCATATCTGATGGGAACGTGGGTATGGACAACCTTGGGGGTTCTTTCCAGACTGTGGACCTCCCTCCTCAAGGAGAATAGGTGGCTCCTTCTGTTGCTGTTCTTCCATCATCAGGTGAAAAAAATGCTTTTCTGCCAAGCATTTAGGACATTTAATGATGTCCTAAACATATATCTTATATATATAAAACAAATATTGCTAACATATATCTTTTAGTTGATTCCCCCTCAATGGAATGTCACCTTGTCATGGTGAGGATGATAACACGGTACATGTTACAATGGCTGTGATGGCCAACGAAGGCCACAACAGATGAGAGGCTATCGTTTGTTGGGTTAACCATGCCACTGGATCTTAATTTCTTTCTGTGAAGACTGTGTGTTGATCGGGTGTATACTGATCTCCACACATAAAACAAATTCACACACAGGCTTCTTCCTAGAAAAAGAAAAGAAAACTAACGAAATTCCTATAGTGATCAGCAGGTAGCAACAGGGGCAGGACTGTGAAATCTGGACGCCCCTAGTCTACCTAGCAGTTCAAAAGCATGCAGTGCGAGTAAATCAAAAGGTAACACCTCCTGGTAGGAAGGTACGGTGCCTGTGCAGACACATGCCAGCAAAAGATTGGAGAAGGCTACGGCCAAGCAGGCTCCTTCGGTATGGAAAAATGGAACAACAGCACCTTCCCATGGCCGGAAGTTGAGCATCACCTTCAGACGTCGGAAATGGAAAAAAGGGGGAAGACATTTACCTTATTTGTGTATTATATGCTATTGTTTGTGTTGGCATTGAATGTTTGCCTTGTATGTACTGTAATCCGTTCTGAGTCCCTCCAGGGAGATAAAACGGAATATAAATAAAGTGTATTATTATTATGTATTATTATGGATATGGCTTCAGTCATTGTACTTCAAGGTCCGAGGCAGTTGAGCAGTTCGGCAGTTGTATCCATGACTGAGCAACCCTATTTAGGATACTCTCTGTTTACCCCATACTGGGAGGGGGCTTGAAAAGGTGCCCTAAACATAGTCTGCCTTTCTTACTTATCCCTGACTGGACTGCTGCATCCAGAGGAGTTATCATTTTCTGACAAAAAATACAAATTAATTTGGAAAGTGGAACGATGGACTTTGTTGGACAATACAGACAATAAACGCCCTGAATGCAGGACTGCTATTTGCAAGAGAGCTGAGGTATTATAATATCGATATAGCAGCACTCCAGGAGACCCACAGAGCAGGAGAGGAACAGCTGAAGGAAGAAAAAGGAGGCTACACCTTCTTCTGGAGGGGACTGGCTAAGCAAGAATGAAGAATACACAGAGTTGGCTTTGCTATCAGAAGTGACTTGGTGAAGCACCTATTGGCATTTTTTAATTGTTTTTATTTGCATCTTTTCAAAGTAACAATAAAAGAAAGGGAACATATCAGATGTAAAGGAAAGTAGGAAAGAATGGCGGAGGGGTGGGATGTGCTGAGGTGGGTAGTGAGAGTTGGGGGGGGGGGGGGTTAGGTAGGGCTGGTGGATGGGGAAATGGGGATTCTGCACCTTGTTGATGGGAAGCTTTGCACCACTGTGGAAATCACCTATCGGACAGATGGCAAACTATTTAACCCCAGAAGGCTAAAAGCCAAAACCAAGGGCACAATCACATATCTTACAGAACTCCAATATACTGATGATAATGTAGTCTGTGCTCATTCAGAAGAGGACCTAAACGCCACTTTGAACACCTTTGCAGAAGCATACGAAAAGCTTGGCCTTTCACTGAACATGGAGAAAACTAAAGTGCTCTTCCAGCAGTCAACAGCCAATCCCTCTGCAATGCCAGAAATAAAGCTTAATGGTGTAATGTGTGAAAATGTTGACCATTTCTGCTACCTTGGCAGCTACCTCTCCACAAAAGTCAACACTGACACTGAAATACAACACTGAAATACATCTGAGTTCTGCCAGTATAACTTTTTTCAATTAAGCAGAGAGTGTTTGAGGATTGGGATATTTAGAGGGATACCAAGATGCTTGTTTATAAAGCTATTGTCCTCCCAACTCTGTTATAAACGTGCAAAATATGGACCGTCTTCTGGAAAGATTCCCTCAGTGTTGTCTTTGAAAAATCTTGCAAATCTTTTGGGAAGACAGGTGGACAAAAGTCTGTGTTCTGGAAGGGAAAAGACAACCAGCACTGAAGTGATGATCCTCTGCCATCAACTTTGCTGGACTAGCCACGTTGTCCTATTGGCCGATCACTGTTTCCTAAAGCAGTTACTTTATTCTCAACTCAAAAACAGAAAATTGAATGTTGGTGGACAGCAAAAGAGATTTAAAGATGGACTTAAAGTTAACATGTGGCATTGTTGTTGTTAATTCGTTCAGCCGTTTCCGACTCTTCGTGACCTCATGGACCAGCCCACGCCAGAGCTCCCTGTCGGCCATCACCATGCCCAGCTCCTTTGAGGTCAAGCCAGTCACTTCAAGGATGCCATCCATCCATCTTGCCCTTGGTCGGCCCCTCTTCCTTTTTCCTTCCATTTTCCCCAGCATCATTGTCTTCTCAAAGCTTTCCTGTCTTCTCATTATGTGGCCAAAATACTTCATCTTTGCCTCTAATATCCTTCCCTCCAATGAGCAGTTGGGCTTTATGTCCTAAACTTTCCTCCAACACCACAGTTCAAAAGCACCTATCTTCCTTCGCTCAGCCTTCCCTATGGCGCAGCTCTCACATCTGTAGGTGACTATGGGGAATACCATTGCTTTAACTATGCGGATCTTCGTTGCCACTGTGATGTCGCTACTCTTCATGAGACTGGTCATTGCTCTCCTCCCAAGAAGTAAGCGTCTCCTGATTTCCTGGCTGCAGTCTGCGTCTGCAGTAATCTTTGCACCTAGAAATACAAAATCTGTCACGGC